TTACCTGGAGGTTATTCCGGGGATCAACGCCCCCGCGGCCCGGTCCATGACCAGGCCTCCCGATGGATCAGGGCCTGATCAACTAGGCTGTTACTGCTGGCCGCACGCAGTCCAACGTACGAGCCACAGCCCTGCTGATCCGGCACTGACTTTAGGTATCTGTCCAGCTCTCTCTTGAAGGCAGCCAGAGGTTTATTGGCAATTCCCCTAATGCTTGATGGGAGGCTGTTGAACAGTTTTGGGCCCCGGACACTTATGGTGTTTTCTCTTAGTGTACCAATGGCGCCCCTACTTTTTATTGGGGGCATTTTGCATCGCCTGCCCAGTCTTTTACTTTCGTAGGGAGTGATTTCTGTGTGCAGATTTGGGACCATTCCTTCCAAGATTTTCCAAGTGTAGATTATGACATATCTCTCCCTCCTGCGTTCCAACGAGTACAAGTCAAGTGCTTCCAAGCGTTCCCAGTAGTTAAGGTGCTTGACAGAACTTATACGTGCAGTAAAGGATCTCTGTACACTCTCTAGATCTACGATTTCACCTGCTTTGACTTGCCATCATGAACATATCGTCTTCATATTCAGATATTAATTTGATCAAATTAATAATGAAAGGTTGGCTGCTTGCTAGAAGCAGTGACTGGCTATACAAACACCAGGTGAAAACTTCAAGCACTTGCCTGTTTACCATTAAGTATTTAAGCCGATACGGTCAAGTATTTGAGTCAAATAGAGAACCAAGAAGTTATAGGCATTATCAGTTATGACGCAGTCAAGAAAGTGTAGCCACGAGCTTCACGAGGCTACACCGGGAAAGATGTTATTACCACTTTAAACTGAAGAACTCAGGAGTAATACTCCAACATAAACTCTACAGAATCTGCACACTCACTACGTTCTATCCTCCGATATATTGTGTGAATACAACAAATTAAGCAGAGGGAGTAACTGAGTTGAGGCGTCCAGAGAAAAATCTTTTCCTGACGGAGTAAACAAAACATTATCCTCAAGTTGTTTTATCCCTTCGAATATCCTCCCGGGGAAATAAAGATCCAGATATCTGTAGCGACAACCGGTTGTGGAACAAGACCATCACAGGTTACTTGTATATTAAGTTGCGTTGGAGAAATTTGTATTTATTATTGTGGTATATACCAGTTTCTGTGCAATATTATACTACAGCATCCCCCTTTTACACTATTATTGTCTATTTTATTTCTAAGCATAATTTATAACACCTATGAAAGTTATTAACGTAAATAAGAGGTAATATACTACTTGAGGGCAGTACCCAGGAACGCACCGAGGGAACACTCACACATTATAAAATCACTCTGAAGGAAGAATAAATCCTAGCAATTGCTCGGTATTTCCCACAGTAGTACTTTCTAGGTAGTTGATGCCTTCCATCCTGTCACCATGAATCGCTGAGGCAGACTGACAAAATTTCCACCGAAAGCGAGAAAGTTTGAAGACAAGACAACAGAAACACTTCAAGGCAACGCAGTGGTATTAATCAGAAAAATCTCCACCTATGATATATTCTCTCCCAGAGAAGATGCCACTGATGAATCTATAAAAAACAAGCACCCACAGTTGTCTTGATAATGCCACCTGACCTTTAATCTTGCAAGAATCACATGCTCTTAAAACGATTGTGATTCTTCCCATAGGTTCCGCGGGAAACTGGATTACGACCACAACGTTTCAAAGAACAAGACTGAAGTGAAGACAACAGAGATTAGAGAGAGTTTGTAAATTACAGTTAAAATTTTTCTTGGTGTGATTATGAGAGAGAAATGCGAGAGAAATGTAAATGTGTGAGTCAGAGAGCAAAGATTCAGCCTTTCCGAGGTAATCCTTGCGATCAATGACAACCACCGTATTGCCATTGTCAGAAGGAAGGTTAACAGTATTTGTATTAGACCTATCAGAAGTAAGGGCAAGCTGACAGCGACGAGAAAACTCTTAGAAATCATGCAATCAAGATCAGCAATAAGAGCACCACGAAAAGTGAACAAGTCAGGAATATTTTGAGAGTGAGATTGGCGAAAGGACTCAGAGGAGGTAATCAGGTCAATGCCAGGAGGCGTAAGTGAAGTGGCAAAGGAAAGAAGAAAAACTAAGAAGTTCAAGCTGATGACAGAAGAGTATGAGAGAAGACAAATTAGTAATTCAGTCAGTGAGGGAGAATTTGGATGAATGGCTGTCAGATATATTTTCCGATTATGAGAATTTCCGATTAAGTTGGGCAGTGTCAATAACCATACCTGTGAGGTCACACAGATCATGTGGAAGAGAGGGTGAAGAAGGTCACACAGATCATGTGTGAGAGAGGGTGAAGGTCACACAGATCATGTGTGAGAGAGGGTGAAAGTCACACAAATCATGTGGGAGACAGGGTGAAGAAGGTTATACAGATCATGTGGGAGGGTGAAGAAGGTCACACAGATTATGTGGGAGGGTGAAGATCACACAGATCATGTGGGAGACAGGGTGAAGATCGCGCAGATCATGTGGGAGAGAGGGTGAAGATCACACAGATCATGTGGGAGAGAGGGTGAAGGTCACACAGGTCATGTGGGAAAGAGGATGAAGAAGACATCATGAACTAGAAATTAAGTACAGTAAGAGCTGATAAATTAGACACGTCTGCAACATACAACATATTCTGTACACATTTTGTAGTAATACAAGGACATAATCTGAAAACTGTAGAGTTAAACACAGAAGACAGTAGAAGACGAGGTATTCAGTCCCTCAGCCTAGAAGCAGGTGATGAGCACCGTGAAGGTACTCAGATGCTGCACTTGTCGAATTCATCAAGTAGTTAGTATTGAATACCACTGATATACAAAGTATGAGCTATTGAAGTACTGTGAGAGGCGACTGTTAATCCAGCTGAGACTGATGTTCATTCCACTGCAACAGTTCATTGTTGCAGTGCAACACAAATATTGTTTATTCTACTGAAACTACTGTTCATCCCACTAACAGTATCATTCATCCCACTGAGAGTATTACCTTCCATTAATGCTATTATTCTTCCCACTGAGAATATTGTTCTTTTAAGTGAAACGGAAAATGGTGACATCAACACTGTCATCAACGTCATTCAGTTATTTTTCATGTATTCATATGCATGTTACTGTTCAGTCTAACTGTTCAGTCTAACTATTATGTCTAACTGTTCTGTCTAATATATTATAATTGTTACTATTATAATCATGGGGGAGCGCTAAACCCGTAGGATTATAAAGTGCATGTGAGGGGGATGGAAGACTCAATTTAGGGAACCGGAGCACAGATCCAATTCCCTAGATCAAGAGCCCCTCACCAGTGTCAAGTGATACCATTTTTTACTTCTCTGAAATTCATGGTTTTCCAAAACTGATTTTCAGTCGACTCAAACTATTATTTATCTCACTGAAATTAGTATTCCTTATTATTTGTCCCATTAAAATTATTCCTGTTATTTGTCCCATCAAATTTATTGTTCCTGTTATTTGTCCAATTAAAATTAGCTTTCCTTCACTTAAAATTTTGCTTCCTTCAAATTATTGTGATTTTTCATGCAAATTATTGACTTCTCTAGAAATTTTTGTTAATCATTCCTCTGAAACTGTTGTTCTTCCCAATGAAGCTTTTGTTCTTTCCAGTGAAATAATAGTTATTTTAACTGAAAATATTAATTCCTCTGAAATTATTGTTCTTGGTTCCACTGAAATTATTTGATCTATTGAAACTGCTGTTTATTCCATTGAAAATATTGTTCGTTCCACTTAAAACATTCTTAAATTAACTGAAATATTTGTCGGTTCCATTGAAATTATTGTTCATTCCACAGAAATTGTTTATCGTTACACTGGAAGTGTTGTTAGAGCTCTGAATCTAATTTGTATTCCCCTAAAAAAATCCTTCTCACTGGTATTGGTTTTCGTCACAGTGAACAATTTCTCCTGCAACTGAAATAATTCTTCATTCTGCTTAAACTGTTGTTATTGCCACTGAAAGTATTGTTAAAACGCATAATTGTCACAATTAAACTTTTATAGTTTTTGTCAGCCTATGGTCGCGTGTGTCATCTTGGTGGATTTGGTATTAAGTCTTTCATTACAGTGACCTTGGCATGAAGTGTTTCTCATCTTGGTGACCCTCGCGTGAGGTATCTGTCTTCTTGTGACCCTGGAGTGAGGTATCTGTCATCTGGGTGACCGTGGCGTGAGGTATTTGTCTTCTTGGTGACCCTGGCGTGAGGTATGTGTCTTCGTGGTGACCCTGGCGTGAGGTATGTGTCTTCGAGGTGACCCTGGCATTCGTGGAAGTGACAATGGTATGTAGCATCTTCTTAAGTGAAATAAACATGTGTATCTCTTCCTTCATGTCAAGATCTTGTAGAGTAACATTATTCTTTTATTCTCGCGTCTTATACTTTAAAAGCACTGTTGTGTTTGAACCTGTTTATGCCTGTGTAAGTAATGCTTGAGTCTGTGTTTACCTGCATAGTATATGCTTGGAACTGTGAATCATGGCACAGCTGATATTTTGATCTGTATATGCCTGGATAATCAGTGTTTGCATCAGTGTATGCCTGCATAGTTAATGCGTGGACCTTTGTTAATTTATTATTGAAGCTGTGAATACCTAAATAGTAAATGCTTGTTCCAGTGTATTCCTGTATCCCTGCTTAGTTAATGCTTAAACCTGTGTATGCTTGTATGGTTAATGATTGGACCTGTGATATAACTTGATAGTTAATACTTGGATCTCGGGTCTTGATAGTTAATGTTTTGACCTATGTATAGCTTGATAGTTAATGCCTTGACCTATATAAATCTGGATAGTTGTTGTTAAATAAACTTACTAAAATGTGCCCGTTAATTGGGTCGTGTAAATGAGCCAATTACATTCCTTTTATTATTTTATTCCCCATTTATGCTGAAATGTTTGAAAATCTATAACTAATAAAGGAACCCAGTTTCTCACCATTACGAGCGATTCTTCTTCTTGATGTTCATGGTAGTTCATAACAAGCGTTTGGTGATGTTTACAAAATTGTTTCATTGAACAATGGATCTGAATTGTCGTCAGTATCAGAGCATAAAGTGCCGATACCAATTGTAGCTCGACTTTCAAAATTTGACTTGAGTTGTGATGCAGGGCTGACACGACCCTCAGTCTCGTGTGTGTTTATCAGGGAAATGTCTTCTTCCTTGTTTTCGTGCTTTGTGTTTCGTGATAATGTCTCGTCTCTCACACCTCCCATCTCTAAAGCGTCAAGAGGATAGTAATGAACTTCCGTGGAGTTAAGCACTGAACCCGTCGTCTTGGATACGTTTTTCTTGTACATTTGCGGCAGTTTAGGTGATATCTCCGCTGCCGAGTCGATGACGCTGGCGACACAGCTGCGGATGTCGTTATGAAAAGAACTTGAATTCGAGAACTTGGGTGAGAGATGAAAGCCAGTCGAAGTGCGGCGCGAATTGGTGCCTTTGCCTGGTGTCGCTCTCCCGCATATTGCGGTCTCCGAGGTACAAGAGCGGAAAGTTCGTACACGACCGTTGTTGGCCGAGCGAGTCGAGTTTTCCCTTCGAGTCGTTCCGTGTCCACGAATAAAGAGATCACGAAATGTCTCTCTGAATTTTCGCGACATGCCACAATAGATGGCAAAATTGATGGGGTACGAGAATATAATGAAGGAATTGGAGGTGATGAAGAAATACGTGAGCAAATAATAGGAATCACTGGAGAAAATATCGATGCCCATGTTGGTTATTATGTGAAGGAGCGTGATTATGGCAAGTGGCATCTCCGTCACCAGGAAGACGGACACAACAGCGATCAGCATCAGTGTGGTGCAGTTGGAGTCACTCAGTTTCTTGCATTCTTTCCTCGATTTCTTGTCATGCAAAAGTTTTTTCCTGCGTTTTTGCGCTTCTTTCATGGCCCTAAACAGAAGAAAGTTGAGTACCACGAGCACCATACAGGGACCCAGGTTTACGAACACCACCCGGAACCAGAAGTAGATGGGGAAATAAATGTTGGGAGTAATCAGATTCACCCAGTCGCTGAACCTCTCGCTACAAACAAATACACACTCGCCTTGCCATTTAACTTCCACAGAGTCATACACGGTGTCGAAGAATTTAGGCGCCTGGTGAATGGTAGCGAAGATGAAGATCCAGATAATAGCACTGATGACGCGGGGAAGTGTACACCAGGTGCGGGCCAGAGGAGGGTGACACACATATATGTACCGCTGTACCGCCAGGACCACAGTCAGCCAGATGGATGCTGTGTGAAACAAATTAGGGATGTCCTCGTGCATGAAGCTCCAGGCGTAGCAAGCGGCTGAGGGATGGAGGGGCTTAGCGTGGTTGTTGAGTGTGTACATGTAGAAGAAGGCGGGTTCCGGGAAGAGCACAGTGAGCATGTCTGAGAGCGCCATAGCCATGAGCACAGCATTAGTTGGGGAACGCATGTGGTGTTGCCACAAGACGGCAACGATGATAGTGTTGGCAACAGTCGTTACCAGGAGCAATACTGGCATTGCGTACCCATAGAGAGGTATAGCCAGATCCAGAGGGTACAAGTTGCTCACGTTGAGGAAGTCAGTGACGTTGTCACTCCCACAGCTCCTGTTCACCAGTAGGATGTAGCTCTCAGACACATTGGTGCCATAGTCATACGGTGTTTCATTGTCCATGGTGGCTGTGGCGGTGGGAGTGGTGGTGATCTTGGGAAAATATGGGGTGTTGAGGGAGAGTAAAAGGTCACACCAGCACCTTCCCCAGCTTCATTCAATTATTTTTCGTGTGGCCATTGGCATGGAATTGCGTCTTCAGTTGAAGAGTTTCCCAATATGTTCAAACAGAAAAATTCACTCATTTTCGTGACCCCATTTCTATTCACGATATTCTAGGGGTGTCTGTGACCCTTACATCGTTTTGCCTCAGTGACCTGTCTTCACTTTTCTTGACAATACCCGAAACACCACGCACACGTACACTACCTGTTGCTCTCAGTGATCGAATTATTTTATATTTTATAAAATAATAAAAGTTATTTATAATTTCATGAAGGACTGCGAGTCTGAATCGTTCTCGTGATGTAATATTGGTTCTCAGCTGCTGTCACTCGTTCACAAGTGTCAGTGGTAGGGAGTCAGAGAGCTGCAGCAGCAACCATCCTCCCTGCACCCAGCACACTGCCAGACTGAGCACCCAGGCACTACCACCATCTACACAACCACCACCACCAACACCCTACTGCAGCGATCCCTATTATACCACTGCAATAACCCCTATTATGCCACCCCCATCTTCATAATCACCCCTGTTAGAGAGAGACTGTAGTCTGGTAACTCTAGCTACTGTGACATTTCAGCGATCAACCCCTTCATTTTCTCACTCGGTAACCGTCAGGTGTAATAAAGGTGTGAAGCCAAGACTAATAAAAGTGTTATGCCATCCAGGCGTCATTAGTATATATTCAGTATGTAAGTAATATAAACAAAAAATATTTAGTACACCAGAAAGAAAACTAATATGAAACTATAGCCAAAATATCAAATACTCGTTATTCGCATTTCTTGCTCTATATAGCCTGAAGTCTCAATGTACCACAACTGTTATAACGAATACAAGTGTAGTCTTGAGGTCTGTGCACCTGTTTCGTAACTGTGTCAGTACGATAATCAGGTAGTAATGAAAAACCGAGGAAATAACAGCAGAGAATAAATACTTATTCTGTACTTATGTATACATACATATATTACTGTGGGCATGACTCACGAAATCGTAATGACACGATTGCAAACAAACCATACCCCGGCCGGGATTGAACCCGCGGTCAGAGAGTCTCAAAACTCCAGACCGTCGCGTTAGCCACTAGACCAGCTAGCCACAATAAGATTCGTCCAACTAGGTATATTTCTACACCATAGGAAGGTTAGCATAGGCACCACTGTGACCACAAATGCAACTTGCATTTGTGGTCACAGTGGTGCCTGTGCTAACCTTCCTATGGTGTAGAAATATACCTAGTTGGACGAATCTTATTGTGGCTAGCTGGTCTAGTGGCTAACGCGACGGTCTGGAGTTTTGAGACTCTCTGACCGCGGGTTCAATCCCGGCCGGGGTATGGTTTACTGTGGGCACTTCGGATAATATACAGTACACTAAAATACTCTTATGAATATGTACCATCTGGTACTTTACGATGAGGTGTACTCAAAAGTACAAGAGTAGTATAGGTGTGTAAGTGTATGTGTTTAGTAAGACTCGACTCGACTTTGAATATGGTTGACAGCAACAAGTCCCTAGATAAGATAACTTCTGGAACTCTGAGGCAATCAAACAGCTTACTTCAATATGACGACCCATTCGCCAAACTGCAGTAATGTTCGAAGCACAGAGTTAGGTAAGGAACAGAGATACCAAAACGACCTTAACTCTGAACCTTCGGTAGATCTTACACAAAAGGCATAAAAGTCCCATATTACTGAAACCGAGTTCAGCAATTCCAATTTTTCGACTACGACAGTGTGTAGATGGCAAAACATTGTAGGTCAAGAGTAAACTCGTAGCTAGAGATACAGAGAGCGTCTCCATGACACAAACTCTGAAAATGTAAATAGAGGAATTTATTACCTGAGTAGGATATCTCCCTCTTGGATGGGTTTTATCTTCCCGCTGTTTATGCCAACACTGGAACTGCCTATGACCTAACTTATTACAAAAAAGGCACAGTGGTAATTGATCTTTAGGGTAATGCCTGGAAAAAGAGCCGTTTGTCACCTGTTTTTTCCTGTAAACACCTTCAAAGGTTCGACAGCTGGAGCTTTCCTAGTAGTCAATCTTGAACTAAAACCTTGGAAGGCAGATTTCTTTTCCGGGGTCTTAGCCATTTCTACGGTTATAGCATGGGAAATTCCAAAATGATCTGCGTGGGCAGCAGTATCTAACATGTTAGAAGTAGGAAATGTCAAAAGATATGTATGAACCCTCTCCGGGAAAGGGAAAGAGAGGGAAAGGGGGGGGGGATATAACCATCGAACACCACAGCTTAACCATACACCGGTACACAGAGCGGCAGGTATGTTGCTATACCTTCAATCCCCTTCAAGGGAGGTTCCTTGATGCTGGTGAGGGGCTCTTGATCTAGGGAATTGGATCTATGCTCCAGTTCCCTGAATTGAGCCTGAATACCTTCCATCCCCCACATGCGCTGTATAATCCTACGGGTTTAGCGCTCCCGTGATTATAATAATATACCTTCAGTTTAACTTATCATGACCATGTTACATAAATAATAATACGCGTTAATAAGAAATAAGCCTTAATAATACAAGGACGTTCATTTTCAATTTAGCTATTAAAGGAAATGACCGCAATGTAATATTAACAATAGTGGCATGACGTTAACTAAGTTATAGTGCACATATTAGCTTCCAGTCACCACCACAACCACTACTACCATCACCACTACACCACTACTACCATCACCACTACACCACTACTACCACTACCACTACTCACCACCACTACCACATACCACTACCACTACCACTATCATACCACACCACTACCACACCACTACCACACACCACTACCACAACCACTACCATCACCACTACCACCACCACTACCATACTCACTACCACACCACACCATCACCACTACCACCACACTACCATCGCCACTACCACCATCCACCACTACACAAACCACTACCATCACCACAACTACTACCATACACTACCACACAACCACTACCACCATCACTGCCACAACCATCACCATCACTACCACCACCTCAACCACCACTACCACCACCACTACCATCGCCATACCACCACTACCACATCACCAACGCCACACCATCACCACAACTACACCATACACTACCAACAACCACAACCATCACTGCACAACACTACCACAACCACCATCACTGCCACAACCACACCACAACACACCACAAACCACTACCACCACCTCCACCATCAAATTTCCACTATCACACTGCATCAATATCCACTTCATATCCATATCATACCAAACTACCACAACCATACCACAAACCTACCACAACCATACACTTAACAAACACTCCACAACATCCATCCATGGCTACCACAAACTTTACTTAGCAACAAAACACCTTCTATATTCATTTCCAACCACCACACCATCACACAACCACCACAAAAACTTTCCCAACTCCATCATGGCTACACACTCTTGATCAACAACACACATTATACTGGTGATTAACCCCATGATGGTATACCATGGTATAACCATAGGTATATACCTGGTGGTATACCTGGTGGTATACCTGGTGGTATACCTGGTTGTATACCTGGTGGTATACATGTGTCTCTGTTAAATAACCTGGTGGTATACCTGGTGGTATACCAGGTGGTATACATGTGACTCTGCTAAATAACCTGGTGGTATACCTGATGGTATACCAGGTGGTATACATGTGACTCTGCTAAATAACCTGGTGGTATACCTGGTGGTATACCAGGTGGTATACATGTGACTCTGCTAAATAACCTGCCTAACTGAATGCTATATAAATTAGCTTCCGTCTACACTGGTATTAGTGTGTTTTATATCACACATAAAAATATTGCCTGTAAGTCTGCATATGCGTGTACTCACCTAATTGTGGTTGCAGGGGTCGAGACTCTTCACTGATCGCTACCGGGTCCTCCCTCTCCCTGCTCCATGAGCTTTATCATACCTCGTCTTAAAACTATGTATAGTTCCTGCCTCCACTACATCGCTTGCCAGACTGTTCCACTTCCAAACAACTCTGTGTCTGAAGAAATACTTCCTAACATCCCTTTGACTCATCTGAGTCTTTAGCTTCCAATTGCGACCCCTTGTTTCTGTGTCCCATCTCTGGAACATCGTGTCTCTGTCCACCTTGTCTATTCCACGCAGTATTTTGTATGTCGTTATCATGTCTCCTCTGACCCTCCTGTCCTCCAGTGTCGTCAGACCAATTTCCCTTAACCTTTCTTCATAGGACATTCCCCTTAGCTCTAGAACCAGCCTTGTTGCAAACCTTGGTACTTTCTCTAATTTCTTGACGTGTTTCACCAGGTGTGGGTTCCCAACTGGTGCTGCATACTCCAGTATGGGCCTGACGTACATAGTGTATAAAGTCTTGAACGATTCCTTACTGAGGTACCGGAATGCTATTCTCAGGTTTGCCAAGCGCCCATATGCCGCAGCAGTTATCTGGTTAATGTGTGCTTCTGACCATGTACTCAGTATTATACTCACTCCTAGGTCTTTCTCCTTGAGTGAGGTTTGCAGTCTTTGGCCTCCTAGCCTATACTCTGTCTGCGGTCTTCTTTGCCCTTCTCCGATCTTCATGACTTTGCATTTGGCGGGGTTAAATTCTAGGAGCCAGTTGCTGAACCACGCATACAGCCTGTCCAGGTCTCTTTGTAGACCTGTCTGGTTCGCGTCTGATTTAATTCTCCACATTAACTTCACATCATCTGCAAACAGGGACACTTCTGAGTCTATCCCTTCCGTCATGTCGTTCACATATACCAAGAATAGCACTGATCCCAGGACTGACCCTTGTGGGGCCCCGCTCGTCACCGGCGCCCACGTGTGTGTGTATGCGTGTGTGTGTGTGTGTGTGTGTGTGTGCGTGTGCGTGTGCGTGTGCGTGTGCGTGCGTGGGTGTGGGTGCGTGTGTGTGTGTGTGTGTGTGTGTGTGTGTGTGTGTGTGTGTGTGTGTACTCACCTATATGTGGTTGCAGGGGTCGAGTCATAGCTCCTGACCCCGCTTCTTCACTGGACGATACTAAGTGTCTCCTCCATGAGCTTTATCATACCTCTTCTTAAAGCTATGTGTGGAACTTGCCTCCACTACTTCACTCTCCAGATTATTCCACTTCCTCACAGCTCTTAGGCTAAAGAAATACTTCCTAACATCCCTAAGACTCATCTGGGCTTTCAACTTCAAATTGTAGCCCCTTGTTCCTGTGTCCCATCTCTGAAACATTCTGTCTCTAAGTTGTCAATTCATCTTAGTATTTTGATAAGTCGTTATTGCGTTCCTACTTCTCTCTTTTGTCCTCCATTATCATCAGATTGGGTTCCCTTAACTTCTCCTCATAGGATTTACCCCTTAGCTCCGGGACTAGTCTTGTTGCAAACTTTT